TAACAGAGTAACAAGGTAACAGAGTAACAAGGTAACAAGGTAACAAGGTAACAGAGTAACAAGGTAACAAGGTAACAAGGTAACAAGGTAATAGAGTAACAAGGTAACAATGTAACTGAGTAACAAAGAAAACAAGGTATCAAGGAAACAAGGAAATAAGGCAACAAGCAACCAAGCAGAAAGAGTGAAGTTATAAGTTAATTAGGTAAAAGCGGTACAATATATGTCCCCATACATGAAGTACCTACCAATAAAGTTATGGACGCTATGTACGTTCAAAAAACAAAATGGAGAATCTCTAAGTTGAAAGCGTTTACAGAGTATTGCTTGGCTTAAACAGATTTCTGGTGATGGATAAACTGGAGGAATTGTATAGTTTAGTATTTAGCAGCAGTTGTTTCAAAGAAGCCTATCAAAAACGAATTTTTGATACGCTGGGGGATCTAAATCTTCCTCAATCTCAATCTACCGTTGATAACGATGTAGAGAATTCATTATTGGTGATGCTGACTGTGATTCAGAAACTCTTTCAAGGACTTAAAACAGTCCATTGTCCATATTTAAGAAGTATTGCTTATGATCTTGTTGAGCAAAAACTTCTAGTGGACAAACTGTTGGATTGCCTCGGTCAGAGAAATCAACATGTTGTATTTTCTGCAAGTAAAGCTATTGTCATAGTTTTGCAGATGCTTCCTGAGCAAATGATCAAAGTGAAATGGTTTGACAGTCTCATGAATTTCATTTGTTTTGGGAAAGAAAGTGAACATCCATGGAGAAAGCTATACATTATGGAATTAATAAGAAAAGTTCTCAAAGACTCTAGAAACACTGTTAATCAGAAGATTGAAGTTGAAAATCAAGCATGTTGCTGTGAACATGGTCAAGATGTCGTATATTCTTGCATTCCAGGGAGTAAATTAGCTAAGTTGTTTTTAAGACACTTTAACTTCCAGCACACTTTGTTTGCATTCATCCCTTTTGTAACCAGACCAAATGGACTATATTCTTTTATGAAATCATACCACCATGTTGGTGCCTTGGAGGACTTTGTTACACTTCAGGCATGTTTGAGATTTGAAAAAGCAATTCATGATCAAGAAAAAGTTAAAAAAGATCCTATCAGTGGAATCAAAGAATGTAACTTGATAGCATTTTTAAACTGTCTTGTGGAGATTGCAAAATGTTTGCATAGCAAGAATTTGCTCAGTTTCCTGCACCCAGAATCAACTGAAAACCATTATAGTATGGTAAGTGAATCTGGTGATGAGTTTACAGGCAAGACTCAGCCTGAAGATGGAAATCATTTGCAAATAACAAGTACTACCACACAACTTGGCACTGTGGTGTCAACTTTGATTCAGTACCTACATTACCCAAGACTATCATCACTAATTTTTAAGAAGATTTTGGAGGTCTCGAATCAAGTCATAATGATACCAAGCTCTACTTTATCCAGCCAGAAAGGTGGCTGTACAGATTTCACAAAGATGATAAGAACTGCTTCAGTCTCTCATCTAAGTGTTGTTGAATGCTGTCTCTTAGACAAAGTACCAAAATGTTTGAGAAGGACTGGATTTTGTGGAACCAAAATAAACAGTTCTGACCCCTCTATTGCACTTGAAACTCAAAGAGAGTGCATAGATCTTGTTGCACTTCGTAAAGCTGGGCTAATTCTTATCAAGTCTGCATATATTGTGTTAAAGATGGCTCAAAATCAAGAAGGTAAAAATAAAATGTTTTGATTTTCCTCTATAGTACTGAAAAATAATAAATAATTATACCAGTTACAGTCTACCTCTTTATCTTGGTGTTTGCAGTAAGGGAAATTGACTGTACTTGTCTATATACATGTAGTAGTAACTTGAAATTCATTGTACCAAATTAACTTTTTTAGGGGCCACTTGGCTTTTATCAATTTTATCCTTCACAGTGGTGGCCAATTCTCACAAGTTGGTTGCCAGGTTCTTTTTATAATGTTTTCAAGCTTAATTAAAACCAGTAAAGGGAAAACTTGTATTTGATCTGCACTGCTATAGTTTATTTTAAAGAATTTTGTTTTCTAAATAAGCCCCTCTGTTTATCAGTCCCTCCATTTATGAGCCCTTCTACAATCCCTAACCAAGATGTATATAAGCCCAAGGCTTATGCAGCAGTGTTTGATAAATCAATACCATGTGAAAGTAATGCCTAAGAGGTTCCAATCCATAAAGTGTTATTGACAGAACTTAAATGTCAGATTTAGGGTTGCCATATGCTGCGGACACAGACGTATTTCCAGTCATTGCTTCTCTCCAGCTAAGAGAAGCAACAACCAGATATATGTCTGTGTCTGCAGGCTAGGGTTGCTACTCTTAAAAAAAAAAAAAACTGACTTTTCACTGACCTTGTATTTCATAATTCTCTTACGTTTTCCGGCAGCTTATAGATATTCTTTACTTTTTTCCACAGCATATGGTGATGGTTAAAAGAATTTCCAGACAAAAAAAATGATTGGTCTTCA